ATTGCACTCAAACAATCTTGGAAAATGGCCACTATACCGACAGAATGTTTAGTAATCTGTAAAATTTTCGATTGTGCAGAAATGGACAAGCTCACTATAGAATTAAACAATAAGGAAGACTCAGAATATTACTCAATTTGGAATAACTGGTATCAATGGATAGATAGTAGGAATATGAAATGTATAGATTAGAATTAGATATAAATGTTGCATATGTATATGATCAATTAGAAATGTCTGAAAATGTATGAATATAGTTAAGATTTTTGTACTGTCAAAGAATGATGGTGAATTGTACAAACTTATTTTTTTTATAGATTTATTTGTATTTTAATGTTCCAAATTTCAATAAAGGTTTAAAGGTTTAAAAAATAAATAACCCTCTCATTTAAAAAATGAACTTTCTCTGCCCGTTAACAAAGTTAAAGAGGTTTCTTCTTACATAAAAGCTCCAATATCATCAACGTCTCATGTTCATTTTATTTCCTCTGGCTAAAAATATATATATTTTCTGCCACAAACAGAAATTTCTGCCACTAATATTTGAGGGTTTCCTACTTCCTGGAGACTAAAACATACGAAGAACGTTTGCAGGATTTGGGCTTGGCTAGTTTCAAGAAAAGAAGGACTGGGGGAGACATGATAGCAATGTTCCAATATTTGAAAGTGCTGCCACAAAGAAGAGGGGATCAACTTAATTTCCAAAAAACTCCAGAAGGCAAGGCAAGAAACAATGGATGGAAACCAATCAAGGAGAGAAGCAACCTGGAATTGAGGAGAAACTCCCTAACAATGAGGACAATTAACCAGTGGAACGGCTTGCCACCAGAAGTTGTGGTTGCTTCATCACTGGAGGCTTTTAAGAAGAGACTGGATAGCCACTTGTCTGGAAAGGTACTATAAGGTCGCCTACTTGAGGAGGGGGTTGGACTAGAAGACCTCCAAGGTCCCATCCGACTCTGTTATTCTGTTACTGAAACTACCTTTCGTCCACTAATTGTTTTATTTTTGCTGCTAACTGTCGAGTTTGTAGGTGTGGTTAGGCTAAGACAGAGTGAAACAGAAAGGAGTAGGAAGGTCAGAAAACAATTACTGTAATGACCCAAGATTTATTTCCATAATTAAACACCCAAAGTATCATTTAGGTAGTCCAAAGGAAACCTATAAAAATAAATGGGATGGCTGGTTTGTTAAACAGATAAACATCTCATTTTGCCCTGCGGAGCACGAGGTGTTATCATACTTCATCCAACACTGGATTTTATTTTGTACGGTTCCAAAATAAACACATTTTTTGGTCAAAATGGAGCAGATAAGGCTTATCACTTAATGTTCTTCCCCTTTTATGATATGGTTAGTCCTGGACATTTTTGGCCTGAAAAACAGCCGGAAAACAGGCTGTTTTTCGGCCCATTTTCAGGCCGTATTCCAGGACATTTTTAGGCTGTCTTTTGGGCTGTTTTCAGGTCGTTATCTGGGTGTTTTTGGCTGCATTTTAGGCCATCTTTTGGCCTGTTTCAGGTTATTTTTGACCTGAAAAATGGTCTGAAAATGGCCTGAAAAATGGCCAAAAATCAGGCTGTTTTCGGCCTATTTTCAGGGGCATTTTAGGCCTTTGTTGGGCTGTTTTCTGGCCCTTTTTGGCCTGAAAAACGGCCCGAAAACGGCCTGGAAAATGGCCCCAAAACAGCCTGAAAATGGACACATGCACCCATGGGCATGCATGCGCGTTCCGCTTTGGGCACTCAGTGCCGAAAAGGTCTGCCATCACTGCACTACGGGAACCTCTTGGATAATGAAGAAATGCAGTGATCCTTCAAGTTAAGAATCATCTAGCAAACCAGAGTTTTAGAAATGGTGCCACCTAAACTGTGTGGCCCAATGTTTAGTTTTGGGGTGTGGTGATGACCTCACATGCTATATAGGACTTCCTGATCATTACGAAGGAGTAGTTGAAAGTAGATGCAGGGTTTCACAAACAGTTGTGCAACTTGGAACACTGAGTAAGAATCAAGGTAAATCCAGCTTTCTTTTTGACTATCAAAGCTTCACGACTTCCATGTTCAGGGCAGTGTGGATTTTTTTTCCCCCCAGTATAAGAATAAAGGATTTTTTTTTTCTGGAGCAGACGACTTCCTTCTGCAATGTTTGAATTGAGTTTTTATTAGCAGTCTGCACATACTGCATTTGGCTTTGTTGGAAGTTAAAACCCACCCCTCCCCTAGGAAAATGAAATACTTTAGGATATACTAAAAAGGCAGAATATTTCCCTTAAAAAGTACTAGAAACTCAGAGAGGCAGAAACTCAGCCCCTCCCAACCTTTGTTATTAATGGGCGATTAAGGCCTGGGCAAGTCTATTCTACATAACAAAGTTCTACCTCCTCCAGGTAGAGCCATAATAGGAATTGCCCAAAGCCCTTTCATTACATCATCCCTCAGGAAGAGTCAACCAAGGCTGGGACTCAAAAGACAACCTACAGAGTTGCTGCCGCATGGCCCCATGGGAGTCTGACAACCAATCAGAACACGAGCTCAAATTCAAAGCCCGACAGAGGGTATAAAACCCAGGGACTCTCGGCATCTCCGCCCTTTTTCTTCGCCCAAGAGCTCCAAGGCTTGTGATCCTGTCCACCATTAAACCATCTTTCCAAACAGCTTCCAGGTTTCCAGTGTCTTTTCCCCCACTTGGAACTGAACCCAGAAGAATATTTCTTCCAACAGCTTAAGAGTCATGCGTGTATTAAACAAAATCATGAATAATTTGTCTTATTTACTGATCTGTCAGTTCCTACTTTGTGCTTGGGCTATTTCTACCAAATAAATCTATTCAATTTATGTAGCCGCACATCTCACTTGCATGCAACTCCAAGCAGCAAAATGGTATAAGTTGCCTTCCAGCACAATGTTCTCAAGTTTGTCAGAATCATACCTGTGCCGGTGCAATCCACCTGTAGGTTAAATTACAATTTATTTTGGACTCATCTGTGTTGCTGCATTTGCTGAAAGGCAACGTTTATGGGTCCAAAAACAAATAAAATCTGATGAAATCAGGAGACCCTGCAATTCGTGGCCTTTGAAAAGTCAATTGGAAGAAAGAAAAAAAGAGAGAGGGGAAGAAAAGAGAAAAAAGAAAGAAGACAGAAGAAAGAGGAAGGAACAAATAAGGGAGAGAGAAAGGAAGGAAGAAGGAAGGAAAGAAAGAAAGGGAGAAAAAGAGGAGGGAAGAAAGAGGGAGGAACAAGGAAGGGAGAGAAAGAGAGAAAGGAAGGAAGAAGGAAGAAAGAAAAAAGAAATAAAAAGGATGGAAGAAAGAGGAAAGAACAAGGGAGGGAGGGAGAGAGAAAGGAAAGAAAAAGAGACAGAGAGAAAGGGGGAGAGAAAGGGGGAGAGAGGGAAGGAAGGAAGAAGAAAGAAAAAGAAAAAGAAAAAGAAAAAGAAAAAGAAAAAGAAAGAAAGAAAGAAAGAAAGAAAGAAAGAAAGAAAGAAAGAAAGAAAGAAAGAAAGAAAGAAAGAAAGAAAGAAAGAAAGAAAGAGAAAATCTAACTCTCACAGGTGACTCAGAACTGGAAAGCAAAAAGCATAAGCTACTTCACAAATTCAGCATGTGAGAAACAGGTTTTTACACACACATACACACACACACAGAGGAGACACACTACTTAAACACACTCTAAAAATTCCTGGTTACTGCCTCATTCTGAGGATATTTTTATTGATTGATTTGATTTGATTTGTCAATCACTCACAATATAATAGGTATAAGTACATGCATAGTTATGAATACATGAAATGGGTACATATAAGAAAAATAAAAGAATAAGAAAAACAAACAATAGGACAGGGACGGTAGGCACGTTGGTGCACTTATGCATTCCCCCTACAGGCCTCTTAGGAAAGGGGTGAGGTCAATAGTAGACAGTCGAAGGTTAAAGTTTTGGGGGTTTGGGGAAGAAACTACAGAGTCAGGTAGAGTATTCCAGAAATTGACCACTCTGTTGCTGAAGTCGTATTTCCTGCAATCAAGTTTGGTGCAAAGTTAACCTTGAGTTTGTATCTATTGTGTGCTCTTGTGTTATTATGGTTGAAGCTGAAGTATTCATTGACAGGTAAGTCATTGCAATGTATGATTTTATATACCATACTTAGATCAGACCGAAGGCGGCGTAATTCAAGGTTTTCTAGGTCTAGAATTTCAAGTCTGGTGGCATAAGGTATTCTGCAACGAGTAGAGGAGTGGAAAACTCTTCTTGTGAAATATTTCTGGACTTTCTCAACTGTGCTAATATCAGCTACGTAATATGGGTTCCAGGCTGATGAGCTGTATTGGAGTATTGGTCTAGCAAATGTTTTGTATGCTCTAGATATCTGCAGCTTGTTAAGATTTTCTGCCGAAAACCAAATCAACCCTTCATTTGGCTGTAGAACCAGTTCCTGGAGACACTTCCTTCTATACCCACTTCACTAACAACCTGCCCACACAGAATTTTTCCCACTTCCGCTCCAGTCATGCTCCTTCCTCCTTTGAATACAGTATTATCCAACCTCAGCAATTTTAAGATTGTGGATTTCAAGTCCCAGTAAGAACAAACATAAAATTTTCCAAAAGCAACTTATGACCAGTTTTCACGCTTAACAACCGTGGCAGCATCCCCAGGGTAAAAATCTGGTTGCTTAGCAACTGGCATGTATTTATGACGGCTGCCCTGTCCTGAGGTCACATGATCACCATTCGTAACCTTCCTCCGACAAGCAAAGTCAATGGGGAACCCAGATTCGCTTAACGATGGCATGATTCGCTTAACAACTGTGGCGAAAAAAAGATCTTAAAATGGAGCAAAACTTACACCGCGCTATGGAGCGATATTGAAGTCTAGGTGCTGTTGCTATTACTGTCTTGCTTACCGACTGGAATTTTGGCCTTAATTGTGGTCGTACATCAAGGACTACCTGTCTCCAAAAAACAATTTGGCCGATAGATAGAAAGATGATTGAGACCAGATTAGGAAATGTACTATGGGGAAGAAGACAGAGAAGAAGATCCGAGAGGAGTGATGAAGTTGTTGCCAAGTGCCCTAGAAATGGGAAGCATGAGACAGACAGAGAAGCAGATGAACTATTTAGATTAAATAAGAGTGATGGAAGGAGGCATAAGGTCCCAAGGGAGGAGCATGGGAAATTGGTTAAAAAGTCAACAAGAGTTGAAATACTAAAAAGAACAAGAGATGATGGATAGATAACATCTATATAGATATATAGATAGATAGATGGATGGATAGAAGAGTGGTCAATGTCTGGAATACTCTACCCGACTCTGTAGTCTCTTCCCCAAACCCCAAAAACTTTAACCTTAGACTGTCTACTATTGACCTCACCCCTTTCCTAAGAGGTCTGTAGGGGGCGTGCATAAGCGCACCAACGTGCCTACCGTCCCTGTCCTATTGTTTCTCTTATTCTTTTATTTTTCTTATATGTACCCATTTCATGTATTCACAACTATGTATACACTTATACTTATTATCTTGTAAACAATTGGCAAATCAAATAAATAAATAAATAAATAAAACAGAACACCTTTTAATATGGGATTTGCTTTATTAATGATTAGGAAAATGAGGTAGAAATTAGAAATTGGGAAAATACTGTGTTTCCCCGAAAATAAGACCCTGTCACCAAAAAAGGCACCAGGTCTTATTTTGGGGGGATGTCATCTACTGATTGACCTCACTTGCGCACGTCGCCCCCAGCCTCCTTTTCGCTGTCAGAGGCCTTCAGGAACTTCTTCTTCTGTGGCTGGCAAGGGTTTCCTAAAGGCCTCTGCAGCTGATTATAGAGCTCAGGATCGATCCAGAGCTTTCTTATCAGCTCCAGAGGGCTTCAGGAAAGCCTGGCCAGCCTTGCCAGCTGCAGAAGAAATGGGCCAGCGAGGCAGGTATCGGGGTGTGCGAGGCCTGGCTACAACTGTCCAAAGGTAAGGAGTAAGGCAGCTCTACCCCCCACATCCCCACCCTAGCTTAATTTTTACCTGTTCACCTTGGAGTGGGCGGGATCTTAATTAGGGCTTATTTGGGGGGGGGGTAGGGCTTATATTGGGTGCACGTGTAAAAAAAATCAAGCTAGGACTTACTATCAGGGTAGGTCATATTTTCGGGGAAACGGTACTATTATGTACACTGTCACATAATATATTACTATGACTATGTACACATAAATATTAGTAAATTATTACTATGAGTGCATAAATATTATGTGTAAGTAAATTGACCCAGACAATACACTGCTCACTAAGCACTTATGTTAAAGAAAAAAGTATAAATTGTCTCTCTGTGTGTGTGTGTGTGTGTGTGTGTGTAAGGAAATTTACTATGGGATGAGACCATAATTGCTGGAGCTTTCTTATGATGCCACTGTCTTAAAGGGGGAACAAAACTGTAAATGGGACAGGAAGCTCTTCATATCCGGACATCCTTAAAAAGTCAGATCTGCAGTGTGACCTAGAGATAAGCGCATAGAAATAAAATTTCACTGGGAATATGCAAACAACAACTTCCGTACTTTCCCGGCTATTCAAAGCATATTGTTTTACCCCGGTGTGGTTTTTTCCCCCTCCCAAGTTTTAGTCACTTGGTGTGGAAATACCTGCCAGAGAAGCTTCACTCATGCTCTGGTAATCTCTGAGTTAGATACTGCAATGCCATATGTTAACTCTGACAGGTACAGCTGGAAAGAAAAGCAGAAGTGTGCAAGTACCCACATCTCTCAAATTTACCAGCTCCTTCAGCAAAAAGTTGGGAAACTTACACAGCTTTGTAATTAAGTAAAAGTCCCTCTCCATTTCCCCAAATTACTGAAGTCTCGTGAGGGCTCAACAGGATTATAAAAATGCAAGATTTTCAAAGGGCGTAATTTCACAAGTTTTCAGAGATCTGGGTCGGCAGAAGGAAGGCAGAGCACATCACATCCTAAGGACAGGGGTCTCTTTTGTTTATGGTTAGAACGAGATGGTCATAAGACAGCAAATAAGAAAACCATAGTTAGATTAGGTCTTTCTTTTAAAAAAAATTGCTTGCACAGCTGGGGCAACTCACACACAACTTAAAATGCAACTGATTTGCAGGCCCTCTCCATATCAATTGCTGATTTATTGTGGCTGAAATAAAGTCTGTCATACAAACCACTTGCTATGACACATAAATAAAAATATATCAAGGATTTTGGTTTTTCATTTCTGCTTAAGGCATGACACCTCAAATGCCATGTTATTCCCCAAGTAATCTGATCTCACAGTTCAACTTCAATTCCATGCCTGGAGCAAGAAAGGCAAACATTGTAATACTAATTTATGGTACTCAGGTATTACACCAGTTCTTTTTTAGGCATGAATATAAAATCAGACCAAAGCGCAAGATGCGGGAATATTTGCAATGCCAAGGTGCAGAAATTCTCAAACAACTGAAGAGTCCCAATGTGCGTTTCTTTTGATGCGTGCATTTATGTTTATGCAGAGGTGCAACGTCATATTCTTTCTCTCTGATATTCATATATTTCCATGAGTTTTCTAGTGGTTCAGTTATTCAACTTTCTACCCCAAAAGAGGTCTATGGGGATTCTCAGTCATCCAGGTCATGGCTGTCCCAAAGGTGCTTTTTCAAGAGGCAACTGGACAGTGGTGATATTCAAATTTTTTACTACCGGTTCTGTGGGCGTGACTTGGTGTGGCTTGGTGGGCGTGGCAGGGGAAGGTTACTGCAAAATCCCCATTCCCTCTGCACCCCACTGACCTGCTTTCCAGTTCCATTCTCCTGTGCAGGGCCACAAAAAAAGACTCAGCCGATCGGATGGAACTTGGGAGGCAGAGAATAGGTGGGGTTGGTGGGGCCAGTCAGAGGTGGGGTTTGCCAGTTCTCCTAACTACTCAAAATTTCCACTACCGGTTTTTCAGAACTGGTCAGAAACTGCTGAATACCACCACTGCAACTGGACGTGCTGGGTCTTTTTTTCTTTGGAAAACGTTTTGCTTCTCATCCAAGAAGCTTCTTCAGCTCTGACTGGATGATGGGGAGTGGAAGGATTTATACTCCTTGCGGACAGCTGGTCATTTGCATCCTTTTCAGAGAGTAGTTGAGGCCACTTGGAGGTTTATATGTGTCACCTGTGAGTGGTGCAAACAGGTGTGGAGCCTTCTTGGAACTGCTGAAAGGACTGTGTTGTAGATTGGAGATAGATGACGTATTTTCCCCCACCCTCTGTTGAGAGTGGGCTGTTTAATTTTGACATAGATAGATGGCCTCTTTAACCCCCCTCGCTTTCAAAAGGCACAGGCCACTTTTTTGAAGACAGCAAAGTCCACACATTTTGGACAGAGAAGGGCCGAGGGTTGAAAGAAACATCTTTAAAGAAAAATCAGAAAGTCCAGTTGCCCCTTGAAAAAGCACCTTTGGGACACTTCTGTCTGGTACAGATGTAACTAGGTTTTGATTCATCCATCTAGCAAAAGAAACATCTACTTGCTTTTCCTAATTTTTCAAAGTACTATGATTTTTTTTAAAACCAAGGGTCTCCAACCTCCCTCCCCCAGCCGTGGCCTTCTTTGGAAACGAGCCGCTCGAGTGGCGGGCCAGGCCGGCGTGCATGCACACATGTGGACAGTTCAACTTGCACCGACAGCTGCTCACACACGTGTGTGTACACTGGCCTGCTACTCACACGACTCAGTTCCCCTCCTTTCTCTCCCTCTCCACAAGCTGCAAAGGTTGAGGAGAGCTGTTCTACACCGCACTAAAAAAATTTTTTTTTTAAAAAAAAGGAATCTGTGGGAACCCTGGAATATTTTGTAAGTTTGCAGAAAGTTTCCACGCTTAATTGTGATCCAATTCTTTTTTTATAACTTTATTAATAAACATTTTGAATACAGTGTAATTTCAGGGTAATATCACTTACAAGAAAAACAGTGGAAATGAAATGAAAACCATAAAGCATACCACATTAAATATTAACACATGTAGTGATAATACTAAGATATACTAACAATAACACATAATTACCAAGTACTATTTAACTAAGTTTCTCCTTATATTAGCTTATTTAAGCTTCTAATATTATAAACCATCTCAATTTCAAATGAATTGTGATCCAATTCTTACGTTAGCTTGGGATGTCCCAACTGAACAGGATGCAAATTCACCTGTTACAAGATTTTCATACTGTTTGCCACTTCACCTGCTTGCTTAACAGACCCAAATGTATTAGGAAAGTACAAACTGCAGTTGAACTTTCCAATCACAGAGGCAACATGGCTGTCACCACTTCTAACTGAACAATGGACATAAACGCTTCCACGGCTTAAGGAGAAATGGGAACAGAACAACAGAGTTGGAAAGGACCGGTTCTGTCCTACCGCTGGTGGAGACTGACTCTGAGGAAGAGGAGGAACAGCCAACAGGGAGTGGGAGTGTGGCTCCAGAGGTGGTGGAGGAGGCTGGGGAATGGCAGAGGCTGGCTGAGCAATCAGAGGAGGATCCAGGCCCATCCCCTATCCATCCTAGGTCACGCAGGGAGGAGAGGATCAGGGAAAAGCGAGGTCTACTCAAGAGGAGATTACCATGATCCTCCTTGTGGCTTGCAGCTGGGAGCTATGTATATAAGTTTGTAACTGCGCGGTCAGAATTGCTGGAGTCAATTTAGTGTTTACTTTGAAACAGGTTTATCTTTGCTAGCGTTCTTCCCATGGACTCTCGTCGGTTATTTTCCTGGAGATTAGATATCTTGGCTTGCTTGCGGAACTCTCGTCAATGCGGTTTGTTTTGGTTTTCTTTTTGCCTCGTTATTTACTTTTGTGACTTGAAACTGTGCCTAATAAAACAGGGAAGTTAAGTTGAAGGCCTTCCCGGACTTTAATGTATGTTTTGGGTTTGGGGTTATTTTGAGAGACTAGGGGTCATCACACCTTGTAGGTCCGGGATGGAGAACCTATGGCATGCATGCCACAGGTGGCACGCAGAGCCATTTGTG